CTGCGTGATGAGGGGAGAGCCCAGGATAATCTCAGTTTTGTCGAAACCGAATCAGTAATGAGTTTCAAAATTTGTTACAGCTCACAAGAAACTAAAGAGGTAAACTCAGATCAGACGGGAAGCCTTAGTGCAAGGTAAAGCTAAACTCTTTATTCTGCCTTTTTGAGTCAGTATACTATTTCAAGTCGATTTCAGAGTAGCTTTTTAAGCCTTTAAAATGAATATTGAGACCAATAACGTTGAAAAGTTTATATGCAAGAACAGCATGGACCCGCTGATAGTCAGTCATAGTTATTTGTGGTGGACATGGCTTTCACCAAGGAATACAGGAATTGCGAAATGCACTTAATTTAAAATACAAATACAATACAAACGCAAGTAGCTTTTCTTTCAACAAAATAGGAGATTATCAGAGACTTCAGAAAAGATAAGCATGTCTGCACTAAACAGTATATCAGTATTTGCACGAACAAATTACTCAGCCTTGTAAAACTAATTTATGCGAAAGAAAGGCGGAAAGCTCAAAAGAGTACTTTTGAAAGTTTATACATTTACCGAGCTCATACTTTGGAATATTTGGCCGAAATAGACTGAGGTGACAATGAACATTTTTGCAGTAGTCGCGCGGCCACAGCAACACCATTCCTGCCGGTCAGCGATCCCAATCTCTTACTTATGTACGCATTTATCCACTAATAGGAAAATTTTGCAATCTTAAAGAAATCCTTAAGACCCAGCAAAGGCCAAAAATAAGGGAGTCCTATTACCGTTTATGTGTATAAACTGAAAGCCATGGAATAAGATTGTATCATATTAGTGACCAGAGTTCTATAAATTGTAGAATGATATCAGTATAGAGATACAGAATACAATACTGCTGAGTTACAAGGTCTTCTTTTACAATATTTATTTACTATATATTTACTTTCTTTAGTAGAAGTAATAATTCAAGAGGTTCTGTAAGTGATGCGGAAACCTCATATTCTGAGGTAAGTTCAGACAACACAAATGTCTAGTTCGATCCGCCTCCCGGTTAGCTCAATGGATAGAGCGCTGGACTGATGTGCGGGAGGTCGAGGGTTCGAGCCCTGGCCGGACCAACACTCAGGGTCTTAAAATAATCGAGAAGAATATGCTGCCTTTCTATAACATCAAGAAATGGTTTGGATATTCTAGTCTTCTCGGATAGGGACGAATAAATGGAGGTCCCGTCTCTTGCAGGGTTAGGGGTAGGAGACGTTAATTTCCCACGCACGAGATTACTGTGTGATGGATGTCCTCCCCTGGGGTGGGGTGGATGGGTTGTTGTCTTGCGTTTCATACATGAGCCTCTGGCTCGGGTAATTTGGGTAACCATGCCCCACGTAAAGACATTAAACTCTGATTACTATTAATGTTACTATTACGATAGACCGCTTTCATAAAGGGCTGCCGGATTAATACTCTTTTGTTTAAATTTAAGTTAGCCCTTCTGGCCTCGCTTGAGATAACGTATTCTTTTGAATTTTGTACTGGAGAACGAGGCCAGAAGGGCTAATTTAAATTTAAACAAAAGAATATTAATCTGGCAGCCATTTATGAAAGTGTTCTATTACTATTACTATTACTATCCATTATTTGTGGTAGTCTGGAAAGACAACCACAAATAATTCGACGACAACTATGAGTTTCGCAAATGAAGACACACTATGAAGCGAGGATATATTTTACGGACAAGCCTTGAATCTTTTTATTTAACCTAGTCGTGGTATCCAAGTACTTATCGAAAACTGAAATATGAAATTATAAGGAAGAAGCTAAGCTAAATGCGAATAGACAAACCAACATTCCAAACATTCCGATATATAGGCAAGATGCAAAGCTAGCTAAAAACTCAAACAAACTCACAAAGGAACTATATATAAGCTCAAGGAAAGGAACATTAGCACTTACATAACAGTCCCGCTTGTAAGAATTGAACCAAAACGAACTTCAATATAAGTTAGGTATTCGGAAGCGAAACGGGAAATCCAAACAGACACTTACTCTAACACAGAAAACTGTAGTCTTACGGCAAACGACAACAACCAAACGATAAACAAAAAAAA